AAAAAAAAAAAAATCACTTTTTTTATCGTAAAAAAAAGCACAGATGTATATTCACGTGACCTAATACACCACCGGAAAGCAGTCAGGTATGTGAGTGATGAATGGAAACCTGCTGACACTCAAGATACTTTCGTTTCAAGATGTCTAAGATAATCAAGTAAGCACTTACAGAATCTGCAGCCACAGGACCTGAACAGAATTCAGTTTGTCAAATACACTTCTGTATGCAGGTTATCAGAGTCGCCTGTGTTTCACACCAACCAGAACTAGGCTTTTTTTGAGAACTAGCTGCAGCTTTCAAAAGAAAAGCAGTTGGTGCTACTAGATTTCCTAGACAGCGAAGATCTCCACTAAAATCCTCTGATTTCCAGATGACTTTAAATAGCAAGGCACTAGACTTAACTATTCAGTCTTGGCAGAGTTTCAGCATCAGACTAGCAAGTACAAATTGGTCGCATTTTAATAAAAACCAACAATACTTAGAATAACAGAATGACACTAAAAAAGAAGTGCATAATGAACATTACTTTACAAACAGTTAAAACTCCACCAACTGTAAACAGCTAACAAAGCTCTTCGAAAGGCAGGCTACAATTCAGTGATGGGTGAAATGCAGTTGACTCTTCACGGAATCAGTCCTCAGAACGCAAGACGGCAGATGCTTACAGATGCAAGCACCCTGCTGTTTGCAGGAAAGACCTTAGGAGTTAACAAGCACTCTAGGCTTCTCTCTCAGAAGGCATTCTCCTCCCCACAAACGCAGTGCTGTCCACCCTTGTCCAGAGATGACAACTGCCAGAGTTTTCAAGGTAAGATGCCAAAAGACCGTGTTCTCATCCTTCGAGATTAACAGAGCCTCAGATGCACAGAACTTCTCAAAATCACAGCTGCTTTGCAAGGTATTCCCTCTGCAAACAGCCATATTTTTAGAGTCCATAGTCTCTGAACTACTGTATTGTTGTGAAAATGCATTAAAAAATGCAACTGATTAAAATAAAGTGGATGTCTGAGCATATTTTTCCATGTTAACTTATCTTTTAAAATCATACTTACTCAGAAAAGCACACTGGAAGGACTTCAAGCGCAAAGGGCTCCTTCCACCTCAGGGGAGAGGATTAAAAGCCTAACCCAAAACCTAGCAGTATGCTCAAAATTCAAGCTGTTTGGTGGTTTTAACAGCCAGGGCAACAGATTTCATCAGTGTAGTTCATGTAATTCATGGTGGCTCACGTCAGTTTCAGTTGAAAATCCCAGGATCCACGTAAGGATACGCAAGAAACTCCCCCAGCTTATTGCCTTCTCCATCATAATGGAGCATCCGAAAACAAACATCACAGAAGAAACAAGGATCCTCTGGTGCCAGACTGTCTCTGTTGGTCACCCACCTGCAGGTTACAAAATACAAGTGTTTTCCATGCGAGTCCAACACATTTGTGACAAACATCTCAACATTTTACTCAGAGTTGGGGATAGCAACAGCAAACATCAGTAATAATGTTATTACACTGAGCAGGCACTACCTATACGGTGTCTCTCCCACCCCAGGCATGCATCTCTCTTCCAAACTCCACACTCACTCAGTATCAATCCCAGCTCCTATCTTTACACTGCTACAGCAGCATTTCCTGAGGAACTCCTCCAACCCATGCAGCTGGTACAGTGCACAACCAAAAAAAAAAAAAATTAACAGGCATCTTCTGTCCACCCTATGGCCATTTAAGTCATAAAAGATAAACCCGCTTTCCCTTAAGGTAAGAAACTGTGATACAGAGCAGACATGCGACTGACCCAAACTCCTCCGAGTAATAATCAAATCCATTTACAAGTCTAAAAGAAGGGCCTGGATGATGTAGGCAAGGCCAGAAGAGGACTGCTGCACACTCCAGCAAGCACTGAAGTCAACATGAACACAGCTGCCGGGGCAAGGAGGGCCTGCCATGTCACCAAGCAATTAATTTATGGTAGCACTCAGAGGCCATGGCAGCTCAAGGCCTCCAGTGATTAAAGATGCTATCTGCACAGATTAGAACACACAGGACAGCCAGCCAAAGCAGCTCTGCTACCCATGGTTTAGCATCTCCCCACTTAAGCTTACTGCTTAATCCTGGTTTTAATTTAATGCATTTACATCACCTCTGGTAATGCCCTCCCCACCCCATCCTTCCCCCATACTGACCCCTTGGCTCCACCTCCCCTTATGGCCCAGCGCCTCGCAGATTACAGCCACTCGAGATGGCATCCTAGGGGCTCTGCTAGGAGCACCAGGATGGGCTCCCATCACAAGGGGAATTGGCTCTTTGCCCGATTCCAGGGAAGTCTAAGGCCAAACAAGCAAGAGAACAAGGACACAGCTGCCATGTCAAACTAAGGCTGAGAGTGTAAGCTGCCCTGGGGGGAAAAAGGGGCAGCCGGTGTTCTTGTAAATAAACCATTCAGACCTATAAACCCAGGGAGCCTACCCCAGTCTGTAGAACTCCCTCAGAGAAATTTCTACTGTGACTGTTGAAAGGCTTTCTCATGTCTAAGCAAACAGCACTGAACAGTATAAAGACCACCGAGTTCACATTCTCCTTTCTTAAATGCAGCAAATCTGTGCGTCACAGAAAGTTCCTTCCAGTACAGCTGCACAGCACAAAGTTTTCAGATAGAGGGTAGGAGTCCACCTGTGGGAAAAGCTATACGCCTTTCAAAAATCTCTAGATTTCACTATATTAAAGTTGGACCGATCCATACTTCCCCCTGCTTAGATGCCAGCTTCAATGAAAGCCCTGTGCGACTTCTGGCAAATGAATTTGAATCACGTCTGGTCACAGGGCAAACATGCAGCATTTCCCCCATAAAGTAACGATTTTCAAAAGTAATTAACCGGGAGCCATTCTACGTATACCAAAGAATCCGAGCCAAACAATGAACCTCTTTGCCACTTCAGTTCTTTTGATCATCATCTCCAAATGAACGCTACCTACAGGAGGCCTTTTCCTGGGTAGGGAGAGGACAACTGATGAAAAGTAAGATCTCAGAACACTTGAATGGAGATTATTCACACACCTTATCAAATAGATACAGTGCTTTGATTTTTTTTTTAAGTTAGTAGCAGCACATAGGAAGACTTATTTCAGAAGACGACTTAAAAGCATCGAGAATGTAGCGTACCTGGCTGTATACATTTTGCACACAAAGCATTTTCTGGTACATAACCAATGTTTCTTGACTAGCAAGGGATAGAGGTTCCTGTCCAGGCAGTCATCGTGATGAATGAGCCTTGAGGAAAATAAATAAATACATAAGATACAATAAAGAGTCAGCCACACCGGAATTTATATGAATGTAAGCACAGACACTGAAGATAAGGCATGACTTAAATTCCTGTGCAAACTATGACTACAATTCTGCTTAGCATTTCTTAACACAGATGAAGAACTGGAGACAGGCTGCTAGTTGCACCACCCGTGGATTTTATGCTCAGGAGTAAAGTCAGTGTGTGTAGTAACTCAGAATTCTTCAACTTTAGACCATCTTTCCAAAGCTTTTATCTCCTACATAGACTAACAGGCAAAAACATCACCCCGTGAGTATTTAGAGGTGCATAATCCTGAGATCAGCTACTTGCAACATCTATGCCCTTCTTTGTGTTGTACTCATCTCGGGGGGCACCATTTAGTAACAATGCTTAGGTACATCAGGCTTCTGGGAATTTAAAACGATCTGTCACCCACTACAGACAATCAGCAGAGTGCTCTCTCCTCCTGTTACGCACCAAGAAGAGCATGCACAATAGTTCTACTGTTGATGTGGTTGAGTTCTACTGCTCATGTGGTTGCCACCTCACAACCACTACCACCGCCTCCTTCTCTCCCCTGCCTATCCACCTCAGCCCACCATTTCCACTCCTCCACTCCTCTGTTCTCTGTTCAGTTCCTGTCCCTTGGCACCAAGTCTCCACAAGTCCAGCTGACTCCAGCCAGAGCCATTAACAGCATTCTGTTCTCTGGTGCTCCAGAATCAGTAAATCTGCCACACCCTGGCTCTGCATAGAAAGAGCTTTTCACTGTGGGTGCTACTCCTCCCATGCCGCAGCCATGCCATGCTAGGTAGAAAGCAGTCTTTCTATGGAGACAAATTATTTAAAAAAAAAAAAAAAGCAAGGGAGATTACTTTCTTCCTTGCAGAGGCAGTCACATGTATATGGAATAAATGTTACATAAGCCTTGCAGAAAGTGGTAGAATAATTTTAAAGCTAGTCTAACAAATATTCAGCATTTAATATCTGAAGCTTATCCACAGAAAGCTTGCTTTCAACTGTCTAAGGACTCCCAAAGAGCAGTAACGTACCTTATATCTGTGATGATAACGATGTGCTCACAGTCCCCTTGGTGGCAGAAAAGGTATGGAAAGCCAATTTTAAGGGTCAAATCATTAAATGTGTAGTCATCCATTCTAACAGACTGAAGATTTCCATAGCCTCTGTCATGAGATTCTGACCACTCAATAATTGTTCTGAAAACAGAAAGGTCATCAGCACAGCAATGCTACAAACTGTGAATGCACAGACAAGGAAGGCCTCGGGGGATATCCCTCAATGGGATACAGTTAAAAAGATGGAAATCAAAACAGCTCACAACATTTCGTAATAATGTAAGGTAATTTCACAGCAATACTGCAACCTCACAGAGCTGTGCACTGTTCTTGCGGAACACCTGCCTTTAAAACCCCACCAGGCAGCTTCTTGAGGAGTTGCAGTCACAGTGTACGCTCCCCATGGCACCCATTTGGGTCAGGTTCCTTGCAGCATGACACTTCTCAAGCATTCCAGTAATTCAAATTACCAGCCAGTCATTTGTACACCCTTGGCCAATAACTTCATTCTCAAATATTAAAAAGCTTTTTTTTTGTTTTTGCCAAAGAGAAACGCAAAGCTGACAACTGTACAGTTACACTTCCAAAATTTAGCACTGGAAGGGCAGTGGCCACTGTTGCAATTCTTTCTCAGCTTTTCAGTGTATGTTGTCACAAGCCCTTCCGTGAAGATGATTCTTGCTCACGGACAGAAAGAGCAAAATAACTAAGTTCTCTTAAGTCACACACCAAGTACGGCGTAACAAGAACAGAGTCCAAACTCACAGCTCTTCCATACTATCCTTTTCAACATCTTGATCTCCAAAATCTCACTAGTGTGTCACCAATCCCACACTTCCTTAAAATAAACTATTATGTGTATTTTAAATGGCTGTGACTTGTGCTCAATCAGTGTGAGCCATAGTTCCAAACAAGGGGTACCTGAGACTCTTCAATGTCATCTCAGAGTTCTCTTTCCAACAGGCAAACAGTTCCCTTGTTGACCTTGCCATGAAGGCATTCAGTGTATTTTCAAGACTGAGCAGAACAATTGACTTCCACATAGCAGCTTGTTGTCCTTCTGACCCATCTTCTACCTCACAGGCAGGTCTTTCAGTGGTCATCACAGCCAGGGAGGGCACTTAAACAGCCAGTACAGACTGGCACCTGTCACCTTCCACAGCAATCCCATGCCAACAGAGCAAAATAGGATTTGTGGGGGAAAAAATGCATTCATCCATTTTTTCAGAAGGGAAGTGAGTAGAAGGCATAAGTAGAGCAAGTAAAGTTAAACTTCTATGTAAATATCAACTCAACATGAAAAGATGGTAAGAAGAGTCCATTCTAGCTTCATACATTAGACCTTCCAGTCTTAAAACCATCACAACTTATAAACGAAATGGAATTAATTTCCTGTCCCTTAAGGTTATCCTTAGTCAATTATCTACAAATACTGTACCTGCTCAGATCTCTGCACTCTGGGTATCTTTTATCATTATAAAAGATGCCTTCAAAATAAAAGAAAGCAGATTTGTAGAGATCCTGAGAGAGACAGAGAGAAGTATGCATTAGTGCTATATAGAGAGATTAAACAACTTAAACAAGAACATGTCAAAAAACAAGCATTTTAGGTATCTGAATTACAATCAGAGACCTCATCCTACAGGTTTCCTAAGAAAAGCTCTGCACTGGTTTTAGATGCTGATGTGATAACAAGGCTTATATGATTGCCGGCTACGCAGCTGCTCTGCTGATACTATTCTCCAGCTGTTACAGGTTATTTTAGTGCTCTTGTACTGCTACCCCACCATAGCACTTACGCATTTCTACAAAAACACAAAACAAGAATACAAGCATCATTGCACATATTGCTCAAATTCAGTAACTGCACAGCACTGACTTAAAAAAGGACTAATATTTGAAAAACTGAGAAAGATGTAGTGGGTTGTGCCAGACCCCCCCCCCAGTTGCTCCCTGACTCCCCCTCCTCAACAGGGCCAGGGAAAGAAAATAAAATGAGCAAGCTCATAGGCTGAGATAAAGACAGTTCAATGAGAACAGCAATGGCCGCACAACACAAGCGAAGCAAAAAGTGGAGATTTATTCTCCACTTCCCGTCTGCAGGCAGTGTCCAACCACTTCCTGGGAAGCAGGGCCTCAGCACGCACAGTGATTGCTTTGGAAGACAAATGGCTTACCCGTGAACGGCCCCCCTACTCCTCCCCTCCCGCTGTTACTGCTGAGCATAATGCCACATGGCATGGGACGTCCCTTCAGTCAGTGTGGGTCACCTGCCCCAGCTGTGTACCCTCCCAGTCTCTGGCCCACCCCCAGCCCACTGGCCTTGGGGGGACCTGGAGAGACAGCCCTGAGGCTCTGCAAGCACTGCTCACCTACAGCCACAACACTGAGGTGTTGATTGCACAGCCAAAAACGAAAAGCACTGCCACTGTGAGGAAAGTTAAACCCATCCCAGGCACACCCAGCACACCTGACCAGGACAGACTCCATCATAAAACACTTCTTGTTGGACTGACAGAGTTATTGCGGTCCTGTCGCCCTGTGCACACACATGACAGCCACCTGGCAGCAGTCCCTCATCACACCGATATAAACACCACAGACATGCAATTTTGGAAGGTCCAATCACCTTGCTTCTGGGGGCTCGTAAGAAAACCTAGAATCCTTCAAAATTCCCCCCTAATTATGAAGTTTGCTGCAGGCAGGCAGGCCATTTGTATCAGTCTTCTCTATCAAAGATAATTAACAATTTATGGCACCCATACCAGCAGTGCAAGAGCCATCATTCCCAAATTATCTCAAGAAACGGAGGTAACCCATGAGCCTCCATTACACATGTAGTAAATTCTGCAGCAGGACTACAGACCTATTTAGGTAAAATCACATACATTCATAAAAAAGCAGACTCCACCTGCAAGCATCTTCTTGAGAAGGAACAAAACCACTAAGAACAGGAAAACACCTTGTTGAAACAGCGCGATCAAGTATCAGTCTGTTTGTCTGTCCAGTCTGCTTACACAACAATGTTCACAGAGATGTTCTTTCCTAAAGCTAAAAATTAGTGACATACTGTATTTTCACAAACTGGGGGAAAAGAGGCTGGAGAGCAGCCTCGGGGAAAGAGGGCATTTGGGTTGGTGGCAAGTTGAATACGACTCAACAGCGTGCCCTGGCAGCCAAAAGGGCCAACAGTGTCTTGGGGTGTATCAAGCACAGCATCGCCAGCCAGCTGCAAGAGGCGATTGTCCCACTCTATACCGCAGTGGTGCAGCCCCACCTCAAGTACTCCGTGCAGTTTTGGGTGCCTCAATGTAAGAAGGATATCAAACTGTTAAGAGTGTGTCCAGAGGAGGGTGACCAAGATGGTGAAAGGCCTTGAGGGCAAGACTTATGAGGAGCAGCTGAGGCCATCTGGTTGCTGAGCTTGGAGAAGAGAAGGCTAAGGGGTGACCTCATTGCAGCCTACAGCTTCCTCACAGGGGCCTGTGGAGGGGGAGCTGCTGATCTCTGTCTCATGACCAGCAATAGGACACGAAGAAATGGAATGAAGCTGTGTCAGGGGAAGTTCAGACTGGACATTAAGAAAAGGTTCTTCACCGAGAGGGTGGTCGGTCACTGGAATTGGCTCCCCAGGGAAGTGGTCACAGCACCAAGCCTGTCAGAGTTCAATGAGTGCCTGAACCATGGTCTTAGTCATGTGGTTTAGTTTTAGGTAGTCCTGCAAGGAGCAGGGAGTTGTACTCAGTGGTCCTTATGGGTCCCTTCCAACCCGAGATACTCTCTACACAAAATATTGGGTGTGGTTTTGCAGCTTAGAAACAGCTGTACCATAAGGAAAGAAATGGAACAGATTTACACAATATATAATATATACATACAAATAGCCAAAATTAACAGGGGAAAAAACATAAAAACTTTTTATTTAGATACAAATGTCATTTAACATCTAAGAAAGGAGTAATTGTTTAATTAAGTCATATATTTGCTTCCCCTAACTTCCACCTTCTATTGTCGCTGTCAAAATATTATTTATATAAACAAGTAACTTGAGCAGGGAGAACATGATCAGGAAATACTGTGCTTTTTACCCATATAACTTTTTTACCTTTAAATTGTGCTCTTCCAAATTCTTTCTGGCACATGAGAGAGTGTTCTTTTGGTTTGTGTTGCAACGCCTTAAAGACTGAGACCAAATAGCAATGTATATTATCAAACTGATCACAACACATGTACAGGGCCTAAGAAACAGTTACAAGAAGCAGCAGACAGCCTTCTGCAGTAGACCTTGAAGCAGGGAGATGCCCGAGACCGAAAACACACAGCAAGCAGGGAACCACACTGTTCAGGTACATTTTGCTGAAGAAAAATAATAGAGAAAAATACAGCTAACACGCAAGTCGGTCCTGGGCTGGGGAGAACAAGTCAGCTGCCTTGCATATCATTCATTACTGGAAGTGCGGAGAGGCTGAAGGACACAGACTAAACCCTCTTGAAGCATCTTGGGGCGTAACAGTTCTGTATTGACTGCTGCTCAGGGAGCCATTCTGCATACACTGCATACGCAGCTGTGCACACCTACAACACATACAAGTGCTGCTAAGAAAGAGTGCATACACACAGTTGACCTCTAAGTTACAGCATACATTTTTTTCCATATTTTCAACTGCGGTTTGAAGAAAAGCAGTGTTTCATGGCCCTTCAGCAAAAAAACTTTATCTGCAGTTATACACTGGCATTCAGGTATTGCACAAAGCCTATTTCAATCCTGCATTTTCTTCAAGCAGAAAACTGCAAGGAATCCTTCACTGTCAGGCCTTACGTGCATTTTGATAAGTATCTCTCCAATACGCATCAACACATAGTCTTATCACAGTGAAGTGGTCCCAGCCTTCACACCTCTAATTACACCGTGTGCCAGCTCTCAGACAAAGGCTGTATTTATTCATCAACAGACATGTGCAGGTGGGTCAGGTAGATAGTGACTGCGGAAGGTAACTTCAAGGAACTTGGCTCCTTTCCATGATGAACATGGTGACCGGCTCACTCCAATTCTGTAACTTGGGAGTTGCTGACTGCTCATTAAGTTACAGAATACCGATGAACCATTTACATGTCTGTCAGGAGGCAGCCTATGACCTGCAAGAGCTTACAGTGGAAAAGAAAAGGCAGAGAAAGAGTGGGAGACAAGAGTGAACATGAGGCTGGGTACAGAGAGAAGCAGGTTAAGCAAGAATCAAATGGGAAAACCCTGGACAGCTAGGCACTCTGGATCCCCAGACCGGTCTTATGTGTCTTTATTAATGGAGAATGAGTGCTCATTTGTGCCCAGAAGTCTCTTTGAGCTATTAACTCTCAGGTGTCCAAAGACAGGAAATGCAGACACCGAGGCCAGAGGTGGGACTCATGACTGGAGATGACCTGCACAAAGGCACAGCAGTAGGAATGCGTTTTACATTCAGGCAATTTGTTTCTGCTCTGTCCTTGTCACCCTCCCTGGCTCTCCAACCACAAAGTGTAAGTACAGCCATGCTATGGCAACTCCTTACCAAGTTTTGTGGGTCACAGCAGTTCTAAGTTAGCCACTCCTTTAAAGCTGCTCCAAACTTCAGAAAACAGGTGTTTGTCACAGTGAACAGAAGCCCAAGGGAGCCACTGTTATAAACCTCTTGGGAATCTGAGTCAGGTCTTTCCTGATTAATGCTGGCCAGAGGTATGACTCAGGCATTCCTTCCTCCCAGCTCTTGCTTTTATCCTTCAGTTTGCAAGCAGGGATGCCCTATGCTGTTTCTCCAGGGAATCCCAACCGTAGTAGTAACCACATAAAAGATCCAGGATCCTTGTTAGAAGTATCCCTATCTGCGGAACAAAATACCTCAGTATTGCCCAGTTCTCTTAAACATTCCCCTGATGTTGGTTTGACTAAGGTGTTTGTTTATAAAAAACCCAAACCAAACCCAAAAACGCACAGAGTGCAACAGAATATTTCAGTTGGAGGACACCTACAGTGATCACCTAGTCCAACTGCCTGACCACTCCAGGGCTGACCAAAAGTTAAAGCCTGTTGTTAAGCACATTGTCCAAATGCCTCTTCAACCCTGACAGGCTTGGAGCATCAACCACCTCCCTGGGAAGCCTGCTCCAGTGTTCAACCACCCTGACTAAAGAAATGCTTCTTAACGCCCAGCCTAAACCTTCCTTGGTGTCGCTTTGAACCCCTCCCACGTGTCCTGTCACTGAACAGCAGGGAGAAGAGCTCAGCACCTCCCTCTCCGCTTCCCCTCCTCAGGAAGCTGCAGAAAGCAATGAGGTTGCCCTCAGCCTCCTTTTCTCCAAAGGAGACAAACCCAGAGTCCTTAGTCATTCCTCACAGGACATGCTTTCCAGCCCTGTTGCCCTCTCCTGGAGGCATTCAGGTTCCTTAACATCCCACGGGACGATCACTTCTGTTGACCGGCTGGCCGGGCTGTGTTTGATGGACCCCAGGGTGCAGAGGTTTGCCCTCCGGGCTGCCAGGGCATGCTGCTGGCTCACACTGAGCCTGCTGTCAGCCAGCACCCCCAGGTCCCTCTCCACAGGGCTGCTTGCCAGCCACTCCTCTCCCAGCCTATACTTGTGCCCAGCCATCCTCTGTCCTAGGTGCAGAATCCGGCATTTGGACTTGTTAAATTTCATCCCATTTCATCACAGCCCAATGGAGAAAAAGCAAAGAATAACATCACAAAAACC